GATCAGGCCTACCCCACCCCAAGCGCAGGCATCTGTCAGCATGAACTCACGTGGCGACGCATCAGGGACCACATTGTCGGGTAGCAACAACAACACCGCACCAGACTTGTAAGTCCGCTGAACTCCAACATTTGCACCGCTGGCACGGGTCTTTCCTAAGTCCGTCGCCCATCTAGCGGGCACATGCGGCAAACGTCGTTCAAGACCGCTGCTGATGCCAGCAGCATTGACCGCTCAATTTCTGGGGAGAAACGGTCTTCACTCGGGCCGGACAATCCAGGAACAATGCATCTGGCGGACGGGAATGGAGGCATCGAACAGGGTGCTAAACTTAATTGTGCGGGGTCGGGGTCAAATGCAACAAGAGTCCCCCCACATTCTGGACTGGATCTGTCCCGGGCTCATGCGATCACGTCTCTGGGTGATGTCCCAGCAAGTGGACCAACACTAAGCCTCTCTAGAGGATTACCATAGTCAATGGGCTACTCGTGCATCCGCGTTTAATCAGGCACAGAATGTCTGGATAGTACGCACGCACAACTCCCCCGAAAATTACGAGAGTTTGGCAAGGGGTGAGACTGGACGAGCTCGTGCCACTTCTCCTCGTGCTGCTCGCAGTCTCGCCCCCACAACCAAAATCGCGGTTAAACCGCGGAGCGACGTACTTCATTCAGTCCAAGCCCGCCTGGGCAAATGCGGGGTTATCATGATCATCCTTCATCTCTACTTAAGCCTTCATCGCGCCGCGTAACGAGCTTCTTCGTCCTGTCGAAATTATGGATCTGCCAATTTCTCCAGAAAAAGTTGCAGAACTTGGAAACTTTTCGCATAGTCACTTCATGGAGCAGCTCGAGCACTGTGAACTCTCCGCTATTTGGACTCCCGTGGGCACCAACGGCCTCGTCCAGGCGCGCAAACCCTCGGATGTAGACAACAGAGTCGTGTCCATAATCTTGAAAGCATTCGTACGTTGAAGATGTAGGGAACACTGGACAAGGCTTACGAGTATAGGTCCCATCTTTGCAGCTTTGGGCCAAAGAAAACGATCTGAAGTTAAGGCTTGAGACCATTACCGCTCGCAACCCTGTTTGGGCTAAGGCCGGAGCAAGGGTCACTCCTGCATCCGGAACTATCAGCTTGGTCATCCCATACCCTACCCTGAACCATGGGGCAAAAGTATCGTTTGAGCCCGTGCCAGGCATTCAACCGGAGGTGGTCAATTGGGAGGCATCAGAGACTCTTCCGCATGGGTCATTCGGTTGGCAAGCTCCGAAATTTCTGCCCGGCGGCTCTGTATTGGCCGTTACCGAAGGGGAAATAAAGTTTCGACATATTGAGATACAATACACGCCGTCAAACTCCACGAGCGCGCCTCAGGGCCCCAACGAAAACTCACATGAGGCCGAGGCGTCAGGGGGCGACCATACTTGAGTGCCATCCGAAGGCACCATATCGAGAGATAGGGACTCTGCTGCCGCAATTTTACTTCCTCCGCGTGGTTG